AAAAAAAAAAAAACTATAAATATATTAGAAATTGATTAAGAAAAGAAATGAAATTTTGGCTAGACAAAACTATTGTTTTGTGCTTCATTTAGACCAAATATGTCTGTTTCATTCCAATCACCTTTTGTCCTTCTCCTCTTTAAACAATCAAAATTTTTTCATCATCATACTCAACTACTTTATATACTGTAAACAAAAACAGTGTATAAACAACTCTAACTGTCCTATCAGATTTGATAAATCCGATAAACTGTAAAATACTGATTGAGAACAATTACACATGTATAGAATTTACAAAATTTATCATTTATTTTACAAGTTGTTTGTTATTTTTAGTTATTCTTAATTTCATATCCATTCTGATGGTAAATCCATCTGTAATATATACAACAATACATATCATCTGTCAAAGTGTATTAAATGCTACTGTTGGTGTTGTTGCTACTATTTGTTGATGATGATGATAGTGATGCTGATGACGATGATGACGATGATGATGATGATGACGACGACGACAATGACAATGACAACGACATCGATGATGATGATACTCTCTCTCTTTTTCTCCCTCTTTTCTACTATACTGCTTCTAAAAAAACCCTCCCACCCAATTCTACTTGGCCACCTTAATACTGTTTACAAAATAATATGTTTTTAGCGCAGTCATCAAATGTTTTGTACTTTTATTACGAGTGTCAAAACTGAAATTTCAACTAAACGTTTTCGCAATTAACGGGACATTTGATACAAATTTACAGCCCTCAACAATCCATCTATAATAACTGCAAACTAAATGATCCCCATACTGCCCCCCTCCCTTCCTCTCTCATCTAATCATCAACATCCTACTTGTATACTTCCAAGATAATTGTTGGTCCTCCAGAAAAACTACTTTAAAATCTTACTGTCTTACTTGATTACCTTTTTTTTTTTTTTTCTATCAAAGAAAATGACACAGATAAGCTTTTACAATCAGTTTATTACCCTGCCTTCTTGTTCAAAGTACTAAACTAAAGATTACAGCTTCAGTTAAGCAAGAGAGATGTCGAGAAAAAAAGAAAAGTTAACGCCAACAAACATCCTAAACTAAAGCAAATAAAATTGGTACAACAGTATAAGTTACTAGTTTTTTCCCCTTTCTTTCAGCCCTAAAACTATTTTACACATTCAGTTCACAAAGCTTAGTAACGACAGCGTTTGCTTCATGCAGCATAAGAAACCTTCGGAAAACTTAAGAAGCGTCGGCACATTAAACACTTGTTCAGTTATTTTTTTTTTTTTGTTTTTCTTTGCTAACCAAGATCAAATGTGCAGTGAAGCTCCATCAAACAAAAAAATCCCATAAATAACCCATTCTTTTCTTTTTTTAGCAGCTTAAAGATCATAAAAAGCTATATCCTTTTCTTTCTAAAGGTGTCCATAAAAAAAGAGAAACGGGTAAATAAGACGAAAAGTGTTGCTGACGAATAAACATTAGAAAAAAGCCTAGAAAAACAAAAGAAGACCAGAATCCTAAGATAATTTAGTTTGATTATTCAAACGATAATGTTAATCTGCTTTTGAATGATCTACCTTACCGAAATAGCATAAATATTTGGCGTCAAAAAAAAAGCCAGAAAACCATCACTTTTTTTTTTTCCCAAACATTTTTAGTCCATCAAAATATTGCTGCTTCAATTCTTTCTTGTGCCCTTTTTCTCCATAGCCAATAGAGAAGTTCATATAGAAGGGAATTCTTGAATTTTCTATTCAATAATTAGCATTATCAGCTTTTTATTTTTGTTTTTGCTCTGTTTTTTTCTTCAACTCTTCATCGAAGACAATTTTTTTGGTGTCACGTTTATCTTGAAAATAGCTTTTGTGTCTTCCCAATTTGATTTATATAACTGAACTAGAAAAAAAAAAAAATAAAACGAGAAAATTTTATTACCACTACAGCTCAAATCTACAGAGGTCAAGAGGGAGAGAGAGAGAGAGAAAGGGAGGAACAGAGAGAGAAACGAATAAAGAGAGAAAAAAAAAAGGTAAAAAAAGAAACAAAGAAAAGTAGAGGAAACATAGTGGTGATACTCTAAGTTAAAATTTG